CTCTGTGCAGCTCCAGCTGCAGCCGCTCGGGGTTGGCTCCGAAGGGGAGGGGCGAGGGCAGTCTGTGTGGATGAGGCCTATCAGGGAGAGAGCAGGATGGGCGGCGGCCCGAAAGGGCTCCCTCCTCCTGCCTCGCTCCGAGTCAGTCTCCCCCTGTAGCCCTGGCTGGCTTGGCACTTGTTATGTAGGCCAGGCTGTCCTCCTGTTCTGGGATTAAGGGTATGCGCGGCACATTTGTGATATATACGTGAATTCATATGTATCTGGATCTGGCGGGGTCGGCTGGCGTACGGAGCTGGGTGTGGCAGAGGGAGGAGCGTGGGAGCGGGGAAAACTTGCTTGTAGTGAGCTGAAGTTCCGTCCGGGGTCGCCAGGGGGCACCCGAAGGTCAGAGGACTGCTGCCAGGACTCTCCCGCCACCTCCTTCGGGAAGGGCTTGTTGGTGCCAGGCGTGGCATGCCGGGCAAGCTGGGCCCTGAGCTTCGGGGCGATTCTGGCGTCTCTGCCTCGCTTGTAGGTGGGCCGGGTCTTTCAGGCAGACACTGTTGGGCTCGAACTCAGGCTCCACGCACACCAGGCAAGCTCCCTAGCGTCGGAGCCACATGCCAACCCCACATTTCTACCACTGTTACTATTACTGTGTTGTTGTTTGAGTCAGGATCTCACTCTGAGCCCCGGCTGGCTTTGTTAGCTACCTGCCTCTGCCTCCCGGCTTGGTTTGTTTTGAACCTATTCCACCCTCCTTTAGACCTTTATCCTTTATGTGCACCTTGCCTGCATGTATGTCTGTGTGAGAGCATCAGATCTTGGAATTACAGGTGGATGTTGTGAGCTGCCACACGGGTGCTGGGATTTGAACCTGGGTCCTCTGGAAGAGCAGTCAGTGCCCTCAACCACTGATCTACCTCTCCAGCCCCTTGTTTGTTTGTTTTGAGACAGGGTGTCTCTGTGTAGCCCTGGCTGTCCTGAAGCTAGCACTGTAGACCAGGCTGGCCTTGAACTCAGAGATCTACCTGCCTCTGCCTCCCTACTGGGCGCTGGGATTAAAGTGTGTGCTCCCACTGCCCAGAAAATCTACTGATTTGAAAATATACTAATTTTTTAGTTTTAATTTCACGCATCATGGGTGTTTTGCCCGATTGTATGTCTGTGAACCTTTGCATACCGGGGGCCCTCGGAGGCCAGAAGAGGCTGTCAGATCACCCAGAACGGTTACAGACCGGTGAGCCGCCACGTGAGTGCTGGGACTCCAACCCGGGTCCTCTGCAAGAGCAGCCAGTTTTCCAGGAAGCTGGACCCCGTCTCAGATTTTATGTTTGTCCAATGCAATGCCTCTGGAGGCCACAAGAGGGCCGCAGTGCCTGACTTCTGGAAGAACAGCAAGGGCCTTTTTACCTCCGGGGGCCTCTCCAGCCCTTTATTATTTATTCATGCGCTTCTTGGTTTGTTTGTTGTGTGTGGCGGTCAGGGGAAGGTCATTCCCTCTTTCCACCACGTAGGGGACGTCAGGTCGTCAGGCTCGCCCCTTCCTTGCTATGTTTTGAGATGAGGTATTGCTTAACTTAAGCTGGCCCTAAACAGGGGCTCTCCTGCACGGCCTCCCCAGGGCCAAGATTGCAAATGCTAAGCCCTGCACCTAGCCAGGATTTGTTTTCTTAGTTTATAAAGCTCCGTGTGGCCTGGCCCCTGACCTCCGGCTAACGCAGTGGCAGTGGATGGCCTGGCGTCGGAGTGGGAGCCGGTGGGTGAACCGGCCAGCTGAGACAGGGGGTGAGGGAGGGAGTCATTCCCTCCTGCCCGAACGCCACGTGACACACTGCGATGCCAGGGCCGGTTTTGAGAACGTTTTCGAGCGGGGCGCTTCTTGAGCTCCTCATTCATAGAGTTCCCCGACCTCAAGCTCTGGCACTGCACACTCCCTCCCGCGGCCGGCAGGACGATGCTCTGCTGACCCCTGGTGGCCACAGGGAGCACGGCAGTGCATTTTCTGCAGGCGCCCGACTGCCGCCAACCCTGGTCACACGGGCCTGCAATGCACAGTGGATTCTGTTGCCCGGACCGTAAGATGCACAGAACCCCACCCCTCACGTCCATGCTCACATTCCCGCTGTGCGCCAGTCTAGTCGACCCTCAGCTCGGCACCTCAGCCGAGGATTTACTCAGATCTTTTCTGGTCTGGGCTCTGATTTTGGTGATTTTGCTTTTTTTTGAGATGGGGGTCTCAAACTGTCTTTTAACTCACAACCCTCCTACCTCAGCTTTTTGTTTGTGGGGATGAGCTTCCACACTTGGCTTAATATTTTGCCATTTACTATGGAATAGTTTGCCACTAATTTGGCAGGCTGAGGATTGAGCCTTTGGCCTTGTGCATGCCAGGAAAACTCTACCACTGAGCCACACCCCAGCCCCTCCCTGGGGGATTCTAGGCAGGGGCTCTACCACTGAGCCATGCCCTAGCCCCTTCTTTTACTTTGTGATAATCTTGCTAAGCCCTGAATTCCTCTATGGCCCAAGCAGGACTGAAAGGGCAGCTCTCCTGAGTAGCTAGGATGGCTGGCCTTAACACCAGGCTTGGCTGTTTTGTTTTGTTTTTCATGGATTTATTTTAAGTATATGTGTATGAACCATGCATGGTGGTGCATGCCTTTACTCCCAGCACTCAGGGAGACAGAGGCAAGTGCATCACCGTGAGTTCGTGACCAGCCTGGCCTACAAAGCAAGTCCAAGACAGCCAAGGCTACACAGAGAAACCCTGCCTCAAAAACCCAAACAAAAAGATTACGTGTATGTACATTCGAGTACAGCCTGGGATGTTGGCTCTGGACAGGCGAACTTTGTGAGTGGCTGTGCTCTTTGGGGCCGGGCATGCAGCACAAGCTCTGGGACTCTGCGTTAAATGAGACAGACTGAATAATGCCAAGTCAAGCGCACTTGGAGAAGCTTCCCAGCTAGGGGGGAGTGGGGTAGCCTACCTGCAATCCTAGTACCTGGGAAGGAGGCAGGAGAATCAGTTCAAGGCTAGCCTCAGCTACATCATGAGATCCAGGCAAACTTGGGCTCTGTGACAACTGTAAAGGTCCCAGGGATCAAGTCTTGAAGGCCACTTCACCTACCGGGAATCAGGTGAAGGCATTGTGGCTGGGCACAGCAGAGCCACAGAGGAGCCCCCCGGAACTGTGGAGTCAGGGGAGTGGTGGCTTACACCTGTCCTCTCAGCAGTCAGGAGGCAGGAAGATGCAGAGTACACAAGTCTGGGCTACATAGTAACAGTCTTGGGTCTGGAGATGGCTGAGTGGCCAAGAGTGCACTGTTTATAGAGGACCAGAACCCTGGTTCTGTCAAAACTCCTTCTAACTCCAGTTCCAGGACATCCTATGCCCTCTTCTGGCCTCCACTGACACTGCGTTTACCCACAAACACATTCAGATAAAATCTTTATGTCTCAAATAGCTGAAACCGGCTGGAAGGGAGGCTCAGAGGTTAAGAGGGTCGCAGAGGACCCAGGTTTCATTCATTCCGTGGCACACAACTGCCTGAAACTCACGCACAGTGGCACACGCCTGTAGTCCCACCCACTCAGGAGGCAGAGGCAGGCAGTTCTCTGAGTTCAAGGCCAGCCTGGTCTATAGAGTGAGTTCCGGGACAGCCAGGGCTACATGGAGAAACCTCATTTCCAAACAAACTCAGGAGGCAGCAGTAGGCTTGTTTCAGGTTTGAGGCTGCCTGGAGGTGTTGTTTTCATATACTTTGAGAAGTTTCTAAGCTCCCGCCCTAAAGGAGAGAGTTAGACAGAACACAAGCATGCCCATCAGAACGCAGGCAAGCTTGAATTCTGTGACATTCTAGAGCACTAGAATGAAGGCAGAGGGATACCGGGGTGGCAGACATCTGCCACCACCCAGGGTCCGGATGCCGGGAGACCCTACTTCAACAAGCTCCTGATGGGCCCTCATGGCGGCCTGCGGGATCCACTCACTGACATGTAAAACCTCCTCGCATACGAATGTTTCAAACAGCTGGTCTACAGGCTGGACACGGTACACCTTTAACACCAGCGCTCCAGAGGCCACGCAAAGGTGGAGAGCTCTCAAGTCAGGGGCGGCCTGGTCTACATTGTGAGCTACAGGCGAGCCAGGGCTACAAGGGGAGACTACCTCAAAACGGAGTGCAAACCATAGGTCTGTAGGGAGCACGGCAATGGTAGCCCTTTCGCCTCGTACACCACGTCCAGCTGCGCCTCCAACAAGATGCTGGGGGCTGGGTGCCAGCGCTCTTGTGGTGGCTCCTTTGGGAGGCGGGCCTCCAGGGCCTTACCCAAAGCCTTTGGCAGCCAGTGGGCCTCAGACTTCTGTAGAGGGGGGGGTGGGGTAGGAAGACTGCCCCGGTTAGCCCTGGCTGCAGGAGACTGCAGCCTTCATTTCTCTCAGGCCTATGTTTATTTTAGTTTAGTTTTTTCTTTTTACAAGATTGATTTATTAACTATGGTACATATCACATAAGGCCTTTTCATTTCTTTTTTTACACCATTCCCACTGAGACAATTACAATACTTTGTAGCAAATACATGATTTTAAAAAACAAAACCAAACAAAAACACCTCAGACAGAGATGCCCTGGCCGCCAGGTTGGCTGCCCATGCACTAAACAGGCTGGAGCCTCAGAAACTCATGAGGTGCTCAGACAGAAGGGGGAGGAAGGGAGGGAGAGAGGGAGGAAGGAAGTAAAGGAAGGCAGGCTGGGAATGAAGCAGCACTCTGACACCAGCCAGAGGCCCTGGTCCGAGCCCCATGACAAAGGAAATCGTTACACTTGCTTCACAGACAGGTTTCTACTCTTGCTGCGGAACAGAAGTTTGGGCACACAGCCAGACTACTAACACTTCAATAACCATTAAGTGTTCCTGTTCGTTCTCAGGAAACTCAAAATATTTGTTAATCCAACACAATAAAATCATTTAACATGTGAAAATACAAGTACCAGAAAAATAAGCCGACAGCAGCACTATTCCAAATTTTCAAGTTTTATTCCCATACAATCCCGAGACGGTTCCTTTACTTAAAATGTACACAGGGAACATGATTCTTCAGCGTGAACAATAACTTAGGTCCTGGCTCCACTACTTGGGTGTCTTCGTGGCTGGGTGAAGAGGGAAGAGAGCACGTAGGACCTCTAGCCTTGGCCTCTGTAGCGTCCCTGGCTGGGGCAGTCCTGGACCGACCCAAGTCAAGCCTGCTCCCTCCCCACGAGCATGCGGATGTGGACCGGAGGACTGCCTTCCTCCACCTGCCATCTGTAGGGGCCTTTGGGGCACGAGGATCACAGGTGACCCACTGCTAAACCTTAGGGCGAGGGGGCAGAGCAAGGGACCTGCAGGGTTCTCACTAGGGACGTAGGGTATGCACGCCTTCAAGGACTCCTCCCACAGACCACGGGAGGGCTCGCTGACTCCTCCAGCCCGCAAGCTGCTCCTCACCCCGGGGAATGGTGGAGATAGTGTAAGGGTTCTAAGAAGTCTGTTATTGCTCCTCCCTGCCTTGGCTGGGGAAAAGGGAGTGGGAGGGGGCAGACTCAGAGGACAGACCTTTCCATGTTCCTTAAAGGGCGAGATGAGAAGGGTGGGAAAGTGCAAAAGGAACTACACCACCCCATGTGCCGCACGAACCCCAGCCTGGGAAGCCATGGTGCTGTCGGGTGGCATCAGGCTGAGGACACTGCCAGGGCTACTTTCTGGGCAGGACAGCAGCTGACCTGGCCACCCATTTGAGGCCTCTGACAGCACACCCACCCAAGTCGAGTGCTTGCTTCCCTGTTGTAGTTCCCCAGGTTGCCGTGCCACGAGCGGGAAGGCCACTCAGAGTGCCTGAAGAAGCAGGAGTGAGGTGTTCCGGCCTAGTGTCTGCCAGGGGAGGATCCAAGCAGGGCCCTGCTGGCCAGGTGCCCGCCTCTCTGCCTGCTACCCACCACCCACATTCCGTAGCAGGCACATGCAGCAGCCTCACAGACCCGTGGTCTGCCTTACAACTCTGTTCCAAGCAGGACGATGGCTCCACCTCCACCTCTTTGAAGACCCAACACAGAAGCTACTGAATGGAAGCCATTTCAATAGCCTGGGGCCCAGCGTGTAAAGCCAGGGCAGGGGACTGTCCGAAAACCTCAGTGGACGCCACACACACTACATTCCCACTGACTCCAGGCCCACAGCACCCAACACAGAGCCCCAGGAGGAAACAATTATGTTTGTACCTTGGGTTTGGTTTTGTCTTGGACGTTAAGACTTTGCAGGGGCAGCTTAGTGTCTACAAGCACCTTATGTACTAGAGACAGGGGGACAGCCAGCTTCGTTAGGCAGAACCTGGGCCAGAGACCAGTGACCCTTCTCCTGCCTTACAGAGGTAAAGGCAGGGTGGCAGGCCACTTGGGGCCTGAGAACACACCCACGTGCTATTTCTAAAGTGCAATGGTGCAACCCATGCCCCTCCTATGCTCACGGTACCTTAGTGTCAGATTTCATGGCCCAGTGCTTAGATTGACGTGGGGGCAGAGGCAGGAGCCGACCAGGGCTGCCACGTCACGGGCAGAGTGTGGGGGGCTGCTGCAGGAGCGGCAGGGCTGGGTGAGTGTGGGGTGGTTATGGGCCAGGCCCAGCGCCTATGCTTGAGAACAGGAACCCTAACCAGATGATCATTTCTGGAAGGAGCCACCTGCCCGTGCCCTGGAGTCCGCCTCGCCACTCGCAGCCCGCAGGCGGGATGAAGGGAGCCGCCGGGAGCCGCGTGCACACCTGTAGTGGTCTGTGTAGTGTCTGGCTGGCAGCAGGGGGGGGGGGCGACAATCCAAGGGCTCTGTCTTCTCAGGTGGGGACAGTGGGTTTGCAGTCACTGCCCAGGTGTCCTTGCTCGGCTGTAACACACAGACAGTGGCCACGCAGCAGGTGAGAGGAGAAACTCGAGGTCTGCCTTCCGTGCCTTCTGTCATTCCGACGGTGTGGAGGGTCCCACTGTCTTCCAGGGTTCCTTTCCTGCAGGGAATGGAGCAGAACCTGGGAAGGGTTGGAAGGAAGCTACACACTGGGTCTAGGCACAGAGCTCTCCTCTTGATGTGCTGCTGGGCCATGAGTGACCCAGTGTGTACCACTAGGTAGCAGAGCCATAGCCCACATGTTCCCAAGGACCCCACCACCGGTGTGTGTAGGTATGGAAAACGAGTGAGGACAAACTGTGGGAAGTGTCCTCTTTAGAGGGGCCAGCCCTGCTGGGTGCAGCCTCTGCCCCTGGCAGAGGCTGGGGTGAGGTCCTGGCGGTGGGGCCTGACGCTGGTGCAGGCAGACAGGTTGGGCAAGGGGCCAGGGAGCAGTGAGGGTGGCGAGACCACTGTCTGGTCAGTCCAGTCCTCAGCGGTCAGGCCAACGTTGAGGCCTCACAGCTTGCCACAGCCAGGGCCAGGTGAAGAGCAGGCTGCAGGCTGCTGGACTGCCAGCCATGGTGGACGCTGGCTCCTGCCACCACTGAAGTCTTAAGAAGGCGCTTGGCTGCGACCTCCACCCCAGGGAGACCTGGTTTTTGTTCAAGGCCAAATGCCCCCCCATGAAGACAAGTGTTCTCTGCCTCCGGGCTGTGGTGGCTCACAGCGTGTGTTCGGCTTGGAGCTGAGAGGACAGCAATGGCTGCATCGGGGACTGCGGGGTTGGGGGAGGTGACTGGGGAGGCGACGGCTGGCTGGTCGCAGGTGTAGAGGTGAGGAAGGGGACAGCGGGAGCCACAGCTGAAGGGGAGCCAGGCGTGGCCCCGGGAGGCTCGCTGATGGGCCGGTTGTAGAAGAAGAAGGGGCACTGCTGAATGAAGAGCTCAATGATGGTCTGGTAGGAGCGCGTGGCTGTGAGCGCGTCCATGCTGCTGAAGTCAGGCCGCATCAGGGTGGGCCAGAAGCAGATGGACAGGTTCTCACTGGTCATCAGATTCACCTTGTTGTTGTGGCTGACTCTGCAGAGGACAGTGAAGCCTGGTCAGATGTGCACAGGGCTCAGGGGCGCCCTTCCTGCCTACCCGTCCTCAGCCTGAACCTGCCACCAGCTGAAGACGCCCTACAGGGCCCCTAGAAGGCACAGCGCACAGACCACCCACCACAGTGGTAATGATGCTTGCAGTGGGCAGAAGTTAGTGCACGGATCAAAACACTGCTCCTCTGCCAAAGGCTCACCACAAGTGGACAAACCTGGGACCCTTAGATGCTTTGCCTGCAGGACAGGCCGTTGCCCCAAGGCACCCCTTCTGCTACGTGAGCTGCCTCACTCCAGTACGGAGTCGTGGACGAGGAGCACCTGTGACAAGCTCTTGGCATTTTTGCTTCTGTGAAATTTCTGAAGGCACAAGCACCTGCCAGAGAAACTAGGAGCCAGAGCCAGAGCCAGAGTGAAAACTAAGGATGCCAAGGGCCCTAGCTATGGCTGCTGCAGTAGGCTGCTGGCCTGCTCTACTGTCTCAGTCAACTAACCCAAGATGCCCGTTTACACAGGAGGAACACCAACCAGCAGCACTGGAACCTACTTGTTCAGGTGGGAGATGACGTATTTGAAGACTTCGTGGTTTTCCTTTGGGAATTTCTTCAGCACCTCCTTAAGAGCATGTAGCTTCTGTTCCCGGTCGTTGATTTCTGAGAGAGAAGATGAAAGGCTTTCAGGGCTGAGTCTGTAGGGCGTTCTCGGCGGGCACAGTAGGGATGAGACAGTTGGTAGGACATGGCTGGTGGCTGGTGGCCACCAGGCGCAGCCTGGAAATCCTCTGGGAAGGCAGCCCCATCCTCCTCTCCTCTCATGCTCAGAGCCTGCACTCACGGCCGCACACCTGGACTGGGGTCCAGGCCGCTGCTATGTCCCAGGGCCCTGCTGAAGGGCAGTACTGTATGCCTGGGCTTCCTGCCCCCGCCCAGGACTAACCCTCCCCAGGCTCCGCCATAAAGAACACCATTCTCTGCTCAGCGGTTGCCCCTGGAGACTGGCACCCCAGTGCAGAAAGACTGCTTGCTTCCTGGCCAGACGGAGGGTGCTGTCACCCACCCACACTGACAGACCATGGGAGGAGGGGGTTTGCCACAAGACCAGGGCTCTGTCCTTCCTTGCAGACATGAGGAGCTTTGCACATGGTGCTGTTGCAGGAGCTGAGACAGTGGGCGATTCTTATGCAGCTCCTCAAAGGGATCACATGCTCCTGTTCTTACTGCCCAGAGTTCTAATGTGCTGTGACAGGAAGCATGTCATCCATGGCACACCAGGTCAGTCCTCTCCACAATCTGCCCTGTTCTGAGGGTGGGAAACAAGGAAACAGACAGAATGGCTGTAGAGCAGGGATTTGAACGGACCAGCTGCAGAACTGAGCTGAGTTTGGCTCATTCTGGCAGGGAGGCAAAAATGGTCCAGATTCCACCTACAGTGACACCTGCTGAACTCAGATTCCTCTGCACACAGAAAGATATTATTGTGGTCACTGCTCTGTGGATTTACGGTGTGCTAGTGGAATGGCTCATAGGCAAAAGCACTATTTGCCAAGTCTGATGACCTCAGCTTGATCCCTGGGACTTGCTGGGTACAAAAGACTGACTCCGGGGACTGGAGAGATGGCTCAGAGTTGTTAAGAGCACTGACTGCTCTTTCAGAGGTCCTGAGTTCCATTCCCAGCAACCACATGGTGGCTCACAACCACCTATAATGAGATCTGGTGACCTTTTCTGGTATGTAGGCATAAATATATCTTTAAAAAAGGGGGCAGGGGCTGGAGGGATGGCTCTGGCACTGGCTGCCCTTCCAAAGGTCCGGATTTCAATTTCCAGCAACCACGTGGTGACTCACAACCATCTGTAATGACATCTGGTGACCTCTTCTGGCCTGCAGACAGGACACCATATATATAATAAATAAACCTTAAAAAAAGAAAAAGACTGACTCCTGTAACCTGTTCCGTGACCTCCACATGGGTGCACATGGAGACATGTATACAAGCCCCCACCACAAAGCAAAAACCAAACTACATGGTTTTTGTTGGGCACGGCCTCCTTGGATACAGTTCAGCAATAACTAAAACTGCCATGTCCTCCTGCTTCAGGCGCTTGGGAGATTGCAAGATTGGCCACCCCATGCCTCTTAGGCCAACGTAATGTTGGGCATGGTGGTGTGCGTCTGTAATGCCAGCCCTTGGAAAGCTGAAACAGGAGAACTGTGACTTTGAGCCTATACGATAAGACCGTGTGTCAACAAACCAAACAAAATCGTAAGAACAATTAAAAATAGGGTAAGAAAGCCCACATTCCTAACCCAGAAGCTATCAACTAACTGCTCACAAACGAAAAATCAGTTTTCTCTACTGGAGTCTAACTGGGTGTAGAAACACACTCTTCAGGTAGGCTCCACGCCCAGCAGATGATGGCCAACACAAAACGAACTCAATGGAACTTTGGGAGGCTGCCTCACCATGCTTTGTCAGCCGCAGTCCCAGCAGGTCCTTCTGCGTATGGAGCACGGCTCCCCAGTCTGTGTTCCCGGATTGTGGTGTGCCAATGTGTGTCTCTGCATCTGTTCCCTGAACTTTTTCTTTGGCTCTTCTTTTCTGCTAGCTTGCTTGTTCTGTCTTAATCTCGTTTGTTTAACTTTATCTTATTATTTCTTAGATGCCTGTTTTGTTTCCCAGTGAAAGAGAAAGAAAGGGTGTGGTGGATGTGGGGAAGAGGGGAGGATCTGATAAGAGAATCTATAACTTATTTGTATTAAACCCAAAATCTGTTTTCAGCTGGGTGTGGTGCTACACACCAGAACTTGGGAAACAAGCAGAGGCAGGGGGATCTCTGTGAGTTTCATGCCAGCCTGGTGTACATGCCGAATTCAACGGCAGCCTGAGCTACGTAGTGAGACCGGTCTCAACAAAACAAAACAAATGTTTTTAATTAAAAAAAAAAAAAAAAAAAGTGTGTGTGTGTGTGTGTGTGTCAGGCCATGGCTTCCCTACTGGGTCCTTTACAATAGAGGTCACACCATCAGGCCACGGCTACATGAGTCCCAGAGGAGCGTGGGGCAAACTGGCGGGCACAACCCTGACTCAGGTGGTCTGCCAATCCTGTCTCCAGCATCCTGAAGCTATGAATCTGGAGGCAAGTGATGCCCGAGGATCATTCAGCCTCCTGTCTGTGAAAGAGACCAGGAGCAGCAAGAGGTTCAAGGTGAGCTTAGAGCTGGGCACATGCTAAGGGCCTGGTGCTGTCTGACCAGCAGGGAACCCGAGCAATGAGAGCTGTCTGGCTGTCAGGTGACTGAAGCCCCAGGAATTGAAGTGACTACCCAGAGTTGTTTCAGTGGTTCAGCGTCCAGGCCTGACCTGCAGCCTGAGTGTTAAGGAAGCCAGGGAAGAGAACACCAGAACACAATGAGCATGGCTCACTTTCACTTACTAGAACAAGTGTACCCCTCTCAGAGCCAAGCATGCAGGGTCCTACGACATGAGCACAGCAGTGTGTCTTCTCCTCAGGCCCCTGTGTGGCAGCATGTCACAGACAGAAGTTTCACCTAGGCACTTAGGAAACTGATCTGGCCTTCCCACCTGAGCAGCAGTAATGATGGCTGTTTCCTTTCTTTCTTTTCTGGGGTGATGCTGGAGCTGCTGATACTCATTCATGCCCCTCCCTCCTCTTGAGCCAGAAGTTCAAGAAAGACCCAGCTGGTTCCTGTCCTGCACTCCCCCTGCATCCAGGAGCACTGAGGAGCACCAGGAGAGCCCTGGGCCTATGACACAAGGCAAGGCTGATATCCCTATTTAAGGTGCTGGGGATAGAACCTAGGACCTGGCACATGCTAGGCAAGCACTGCACCGCTCAGCCAGACCCCACTCCACCACTGCCCTTTTTACTCTGCCCATGATATCTGCAGCCATGGGCTACTGAACATATTTACAGTACCTGACGTGACACTCCTCCTACGGAGGAGGCCCACACCTAACATGTCCAATCAGGAAGAAGTTGGTTAGAGCCCTAACTGTCACTGAACCAGTGGGCAGGGATTGCCAGGTAGAACAGGATTGTAATACGCAGGGTTGAGCTCTGGGCAGGACTGGTATTGTCTTTCCCCCACAGCACCTCCTGGCAATATGTAGGCTAGCCCGCAGTTTTCTGCTCAGCTAAGGCTGAAATCTACGTCCCGCACCTGAAATTGAGTGGTGCTTTCAGCAACAGGAAGTTATCATTCAGTTATGATGGGTCACCAAGCATCATGGAAATGTCCTGTGTTGTTCTGGCCAGGAGGGAGGCGTCCCATCCTTGACACTGAGATTTCATTTAGCATCACTTGTCTTCTGGGAGACAGAGGATTCTTATGTCTGCCCAGTGTTTGAGTGCCCGGGACTGTTTTCCAGCTGCTCTCTCAGGAGAAAGTGGGACTGGACTTCAGCTCTGCTCTCTGCACCAGATCCGCTGCCATGCTTGCAGCCATTGGAAGGAATTAAGCAGGGTTGTGGGGAGGGCCAGGCTAACCACTGTGGAGTAAGTCTACACACACAGTGCAGCTGATAACATCCTCGGGAACCCGTAAGGAAGAGAGGGAAGTCATGACAATCAGGGATCTTACAAACACCCTCACAGTGGACACAATCAGGGCTTTAAAACATACAAAGAGCCAGCGTAGTGGGACATACCTGAAATTCTAGCACTCGAGAAGCTGGGAGAGGAAAATCAATCCAGAGTTTGAGGGCAGCATGTATTTTATATATAGTGAGATCTTGTCTTAAAAACCCAAAATAAACTAACTAACAAATCAAAACCAACCAACCAAAAAAACCCAAACTAAGAAAAAACAAAAAGGTTCAAGAACTGGCTGTGACCACTGTGGTTCTTGTGGCAAGAACCCTGATCCACCGTCCCCATCCTTGCTGCTTACTGTCAACTGGATTCTGGGCTGGGAACTCCGCATATTTGTAGTAATGCAGCAGGAGAAGGTCTGGCAGGGGCTTGAGAAATGTACACAGGCCAGGTATATCCTGATCTTCTATGTGGCACACAAGATTCTAGCGAAGGCCAGGCTGGGACTACTTCTGCTTGGCACAGAATGGAAAAATCAAGACTATTCTGGAGGCATGGTCAAGCGGCAAGCTGGGAATGTCTCTTCTCTATTAGACCGCAGTCAGAACCATACACGGTCTGTCAAGGACCACTGTCTCTGTCAGCTACAGTAAGGGACACAGGGCCTCACTACAGAGTAGCTATCTGGACAGATGGCGACCTACAGGGCAGCCCACAGGTCCTTGGCTTGCAACCCTGAAGCAAGGTGGACCTAGTCTAGGACTCCTGTCAGCACAGAAGCTAGAAGGCAGCTTGTGGGAATCAGGTGAACTGGAGGGACTCTGGACACGGAAGTGATTGGTCTCGCTGGTGGTGGAGGACAGGAGAGGAAAACAAAGGCCATGTAGGCTGGAAACCTGTCCCGGCTGGGCTGAGATATCAGTGAAGAGAGGGCACAGAAAGCTCCCACCGGCTGCCTACAACTCTAGCTCCTGCCTGAAGCCCCAGCTCAGGACCCCTCCTTCCCACTACTCCCTGCCTCTTCCCCGTCAGAGCTTTGTGCACTTGTGGCTCAGCTTGCATGAGTCTTTCTACAGAGAACATCAGCTTCCACCCAGGGAAAGCAGGAACTCAAGTTCCAGCTTGCCAGTCCTCAGCTGTGTGACCTGGGCCTCCAGCCAAGCTGTCACTGTTGGAGCCTTGGGCGCCTCTGTACCATGGAGAGACAATCCCCTCTACCTCACTGATGATGAAGAGCATGCACCAATACCCAGCAGAGCCTGCTGCACACAGCGAGCAGCTATCCACAAGCTGCAGTAGTACTTCAGTTGCCATGTTGCCTTGACTGAGCTGGGAAGACAACTGGCAAGCAAGCACACTGCTTCCACTCCAATAGCGTTCTGATGCACACACAACAGTCAGACAGTGATCTTGCATGGGATGTGGAACCCCATGCAAGCCTGAACACAGGCACAGCTACTCTGAGCCAGTAAGTGCAAAGAGCTGGTCAAGTTGCTGCTGCCATGGAAACCTGTGCTTCCTCAGGGCACAGCAATCTTCCGTTGACCACTTTCCCACTGCCTGGCATCTAACTCATCTTAGCCAGCCTGATCCACAGAGACCTGAGCTCCATGGGCTGCTTCTGCTGTGAGGTACCATGTCAGCGGGAGCCCTTCCTTCTACATTCTCCTGTCAGGCTGTCAAGGGACGACAGACAACAGGCAGTCCAGCTGACTAGCAGGGCCCAAAGAGTAGATAATGGAGAGGAAGTTGAGACTCCACCCCTCCCAGGCTGCTATGCAGCACCTTCTGAACTATGGAAAACTTAGAGTGGGTGGCAGAAGAGACTGGAGGAAGGGGGTGGCCCTCCTATCAGCAGCACCCTCTCCTGCCTCTCCCCAGATAAAAAGATGCCATGGCATCTTTTTAAAAAGAAACAATGGCATGCTGATGGGTGCCAGTATTTAACACGCACCTAGATGATGCCAGGTCAAGGCCAATGTGCCAAAGACTGGGTCTTCAGCAGCTGGGTACCAAGCAGTGCAAGCCCCCTGAACCTCTAACTTCCCACAGAGAGACAGTGAGAGTCTGAGATGGTTGCCCATTGGTGGGTGCTAAATGCCACCTCCCAGCCTTGGTAGCTGGGCAAAAAGGAGAGGCTAGCAGATGTGAAGTCACACCACATGCAGGTAACCTGAGCCCTGCATCCTCCACAGCTGGGGACGGCTTCCTTAGAGGAGCAGGAGCCCAGGACTGGAATCCACCTGACCATGATCTCAACACAGCCTTGAGCGTAACCTGCCTGACGCAGCAGCGGTGAGCTAGCCCAGGATCATGCTCCCTTTTCTTGTGTGACCTCTTTCTTGGTGCTTGGAAAGGCTTTTCTGTCTGCCTGTCTCTCTGAGGCAGGGCTGTACTATGTGCATCTGGCTGTCCTCAAACCCACAGATTGATACTCCTTTCAGCAGCTGTGGAGGAATTGCTGTTTCTAGCCTTCCCGTTCTCCCCTGCAAGAGCAAAGGCTTCCTTTGGCCCAATTATAGCAGCAAGTGCTCTATGGTGGGCAGCTCCAAGGGGTCAGGTCCATCATGGCACGTGACACTGTCCAAAAGAGCAGACAATGAGAAAACCCACACACAACGGTCACACAGCGGCTCTCAGCCTTCTTAACGCTCTGACTTTTTAATACAGCTCCTCTTGTTGTGGTGACCCCAACCAGAAAATGATTTTCATTACTACTTCAGAACCAAAATTGTGTTACTGTTAGGAATCCTAACGTAAATATCTGATGTGCAGAATACTGTATATGTGACCCCTGTGAAAGTGTTGTTTGACCCCCCCCCAAAGGGTCATAACCCACAGGTTGAGAACTGTTGCCCTAGAGACTGCATTAAAACTAGAGATTCTAAGTCAGATATGGAGACACGTGCCATAATGCTAGTCCATGGGAAGTTGTGCAAGCAAAACAAGGAGTCTGAGGGTACCCTAAGATACACAAGACACTACCTCCAATAAGTAACAGAGAATCCCAGAGTGCTCGTATGCTGCAGGGCCTTGGGATCTTCTGGACACCGACACCCTCTTCCCCTGTCCACGTAATTTTCCTTTTCAAAAGATACATTAACCTCCCTTTGTGTGCTTTGCCTGCATGCATGTCTGTGTAGCACATGTGTTAGATCCCCTGAAATAGCAGTTATGGATGACTGTGAACCGCAACATGGTGCTAGAAACGGAACCTCGGTCCAATAGCAGCCAGTGTTCTTAACCACTGAGCCACCAGTGGTTTAAACACCAGTCCCAGGTGTTTAAACTTTCCAAGAGTTTGTATGGCCTCGTCACAGGAAGAAGAGAGCTCAGGAAAGGGTCCAGGATAATTTTCGTCACCACAGTGAGTTCCAGCTTTCTCCCTAAGGGCAAGCTAAGGGCAAACATGGGAGGTCAGTCACAGCAGAGGGACAGGGCAGGGCTGCCTGGAGCCTCTCTGGCATCTGTACTTACTGTGTGCTTCCACCAAGTCAATCTGCATGCTGTACGGCACCAGGGGGTCCGGTAGCTCGGAGAAGAAACTCTTCATGGCCCCCGCCACAGTGTTCACGGTGAAGTCTTTCTCTGCAAGGTCCAGATTGTGGTCTGAAAGCAAGCCAGGAAAGTGAGGCCAGACTCATCTATGCTGGCAGAAGGCATGCTGCTTGATGCTGCCGGGGCAGGGGCTTGGGGTTAGCACAAGCCTGCAGAGGAGCTGGCAGCCGGAGCTCGCAGACATGGCCTGGGTGGCAGACCAGGGTCCTCCAGGCTACCTGCGCATCCCACTTGGTTCTGATGAGCTTCAGCTTTTTCCTGGCTCCCCTTCCTGCCAACCACATAGTCACTGGCTCAAGCAGATACTGATGAATCCCTCATTTTCCCCACCCTGGTTCTTCCTAGCGCACAGCTCCACTGAGTTCTCATTTTCGGTCTCCCTAGGACTCGCTGCTTGCTTGACTCTGTAAGACTGTTACAGATGGACATTAAGTGCCTCTCTTTGGACGACCAGTTGCTTAGATTCTTACAGGAACAGTCATGTACCACTTGACCACTTTGGTCAGCAAAGATCCTAACAGATAATTCCACCTGGTGACACTGTGTCTTAGTGTAAGCACATCATTTGACACGTGCCCAGTGAAGATGAGTTTTATCAGAACGTATTTCCTGATGTTCAGACAGTGACATGTAATTAATTTCAGGGTGTCACTGTTGCTGTCTCTCCTGGCCCTCCACGTACTCACTCTCTGGCTGCTAGCTCAGAGGATTTCACGGCATGCTCTGGCACTGGTGGTATAGCTTTGCATTCAGTGTGGACCTTTCGCACATTAAGAGCTGAGTTCCTAGCTGGGAGCCTCTCACACTTGACCTAACAAAGACGCAGGGCAGCCCCACCCAAAGCTGGTGTGACTAAGAGTTCAGCTTGGGACCTGCAGCCCAGTGCCTTAGTTATCTTGACATGTTCCCCAACTTTTCTTTCCCACAGGGCCATTTTGAGGAGAAATGTGGTTGATGTGCACACCTCTGGCCTGTCAAAACAGACTGGACCATTTATTCAAATGCTATTACCCTGGCCCCACTCCAGGGAGGCAAGGGCCTTACAGACAAGTGAGCCTGGACCAGAGAAACCTGTAATGGTGACTGTGGACAGCAATGAGAACTGCCTTGGCAAGGACAGTATGTTGACAGGTCTGGTCCCCCACGGGGGCCACAGGTGGCCTCTGTCTCTACGGCAGTACCTCCGGGCTCAGGTTCAGGTTCATGGGTGGCCAGAACACCCAAGCCCTACAGGGCAGTTCAAGTCCTACACGGCATCTGCTTTGGACCAGTGACGTATAGCCAGGCTGTGCCTTACCTTGATCAAACTGTCTTTGCAAACTTTCCATCTCTGACTTGTTCCCGCTGACCCGGTAGATGCCTTCCGTGCTCAGTCCTACAGAGAGAGAAGCAGGTCCTATGAACCAGAGCTGGAGAGTGGAGTGGGTTGTACATGGGGGCAGGGGCTGTCTGGAGAGTCCTCAAGGTTCCCACCATAAGGGAGAGGCAGGGCTAACAGTGCTTTCTTGTTTGATGCTTTAAAATTTTTAAATTTATTTATTTTTATTTTATGTGCATGGGTGTTTTGTCTGCATGTATGTCTGTGTGAGGGTGTTATATCTTGAAGTTACAGACAGTTGTGAGCTGCCATGTGGTTGCTGGGAATTGAACCCCGGTCCTCTGGAAGAGCACGCAGTGCTCTTAGCCACTGAGCCATCTCTCCAGCCCCTTGTTTGATGCTTTAGCTCCCACTCTTTTCACTTCCTTTTCCTTTAAAGGCAAGGTCTCATATAGTTCAGTCTGGTCTAGAACACCTGTTTTCCCTGTCTCAACTTCCCAAGTGCTGTGACTGCAGGCATTCGATACTACATTTGGCTTACCACATACTGGAACTTGCTCTATAAATCAGGCTGGCCTCAAACTCACAGAGACCCACCTGCCCCTGTTTCCTGAGTGCTGGGATTAAAGCTGTGCATTATTATAACCCACCAATGCCACCCACACTTTAATGTGTACAGCCTTGAGTACTGTACTAAAAACAAACACATTATGTCTTGCTTGGGTCTGTCTAGGCACCACTTGCATGCCTGGTGCTAATGAAAGACAGCCAAAGGTGCTGGCAAACAGAACCTGGGTTCTCTGGAGGAACAGTCTTAACTGCTGACTCATTTCTCCAGCTCCTCTATCTTCCAAAACAAAAAAACAAACAACCAAAAACCACTTATGTGGCCGGAATCTTTTGTCTGTATGGAAGCATCACTTGTTAATAAAAAGCTATAGCTTTTATAGCTAAAGCTGAGGCAGGAAAAAGGAGGTGGGACATTTGACAGACAGAAAGGATTCTGGAATAGAGCTAGGCATGCGATATGGGACATCCACCTGAGAAAAAAGGACAGACGAATGGTACCTGAGCAGAGGTACCATGTGACAGACATGTGGAAGAATACAGATGAGTATAAATGGGTTATATTAAGTTATGAGCTAGTCAAAGGTAAGCCTAACTATATGGCTTATGTATTTGTATATTTTGAGTCTCATGAGTCATTATTCTGGGCGCTTGGGTCCAGGGGGAAAAGCCCATGTAACATACTTAGTTTAGTTGTGTGTGTGTATATGTGTGTGATGTGTTGTGAGTGCAGTGCCCACAGTATGCAGAAGAGGGCAATAGATGCTCCGAAGCTAGAGTTACAGGCAGTTGTGAGCTGCCTGAACTTAGCCCCCCCCCCCCCCCCCCCCGGAAGAACAGCCAGTGCTCTTAACCACCAAACTGTTTCTCCAGCATGAGTGCTTTTCTATTAAAAATAAAGATAAAAAGCCAGGCATGGTGGTTCACACCTGTAGTTCTAGAAGGTAGAAAGCAGAGGTAGAAGGATCACAAGTTCAAGGCAAGTCTGGGCTACATAATGAGTTCCAGGTTTCCAAGTACGACAGAGTGAGACCATGTCTCAGAAAGCCAAAAATGAGCTTGGTGAGACAGCTCAGCAGGCAAAGGCTCTTAGTGAAGCTCACCTGCCCTGGTTTGATCTTCAGCGCCATAAAAAAACCAAAACACAAAACAAGTGGGTCACACACCACATTTCTAAAGATCCCAGTGTAAGGAAGGACTCCAGAAACAGTTGTGCCCTTGTGCAGGCTCTTCTAGTCTTTCACCGATAGCCAGCCTTAAGCAGCTTTTCCTTGTGTTTCTGCAGTGCTGGGGAGGAACTGCTCCGGGGAAATGTTCCATCACAAAGTATCCCGAGGATCCCAGTCTAGATCTATTTCTTAGTATTAATGCTGCTGATTTCCCTCTGCAATGCTTCTCATTTTGCACTTGAAAGAGGTCTGACCCTCCCATTACTTTGTTTAAAGAAAATATTTTCTACCTATCTTTTTTTTTTTTTTTTCTTTCTTTCAAGTGTTTGCAGAACACCTCAGTGATAGCTCCAACTCATTCACTGGCTTGAGTAATAGGACCTCAGTGGCTGGGTCAGGCACAGAGGCAGCTGCACAGCGTCAGAGCAGGATGCCACCTCGGTCCATTCTCCCTGACAACATTAGTCACAGCCGTGTTTGTTCTTCCTTCTCGACTTCTTCAGGATCTCTTCAGAGGAGACCAGGCATGGGTGCTCGCAGGAGATAGTGCCATGCCTGTGCACAGCTTCCTGGGCCATCAACCACCATCAGACCCACTGAGTGAACTCCCTTGATGTTGAATGGAATGGCAATGTCCACACAACAGAGGAGAATCTTTGTTACACAGAGCAAGCGTAGACACCTCAGCGAGGGGCTGGTACAGCCCTGGGATCTGTCACCTCTAGAAGATGAAGCTTCCTGAAGGCTGCTTAGATTTAGTAAATCAAGGTCCTAGGTAAAGAGAGCAGCATTCTTGGCGATGGTGTCGACATGAGCTTCTCTCAGGATTTTTGATGCAGATGCCATCACTTTTCCTCCTGTAGATGTACTATTACATTTGGAAGCCAAGGCTGCTGCCACTCATTTGGGTTCCTGTTGTAAGGAACTTAACATGGCTCCTGTGCCGTTTGCAGGACACTAAGGACTCTGTTACTTTTTGAAATTAAGACAGGAATAAATAACAATACTATATGCATGGTGTGAATTTATTTTTGAGACTGTGTATTGTCTTGTTGCCAGGTTGGCTTTGAATTCCTGGCTAAAGAAATCCAGTTGCTGATGGATGGCGGTGGCACATGGTCAGGAGGCAGAAGCAGGAAAAACTCTTGAGTTTGAGTCCAGTCTGGTCTACACAGTAAATTTCAGGTCAGCTAGGGCTACAAAGTAGGACCCTGTTTGAAACCAAAACCCAAGTAAAAACAATAAAATTAACCATAAATAAAAATTTAAGAACAATCATTAAAAAAAAAAAAAAAACAAAACCAAACAAAAAACCAACAAAACCAAACAACAAAGGGGCTGAAGAGATGGCTCAGCAGTTAAGAGCACTGGCTGCTCTTCCAGAGGATGCGGGTTCAATTCCCAGCACCCACATGGCAGCTCACGGCTGTGTGTACCTCAGTTCCAGTGGACCTGACACACTCATAGACATACTGCAGGCCACCAATGTACATAAACTAAAAGTAAATAAATTAAAAAAAATAACCAAACCACAGAAACATAACGTTAGAGCTGGAGTGTTGGCTTAGCACTTAAGCACACTTGCTGCCCCCACCCCCCCTTTTGGTTGTTGTTGTTTTGAGACAAGGTTTCTGTCTGTGTTAACCTTAGTAGTCCTAGAACTCGTAGACCAGGCTGGCCTGGAACTCAGAGAGGTCCACTTGCTTCCTGCCTCCCAAGAGCGGGAAGGTGTGCCCCACCATGCCTGGCTCAATCTGCTGCTTTTAGACTAGACTCAGGTCTGGTGCCCAGCTTCCACATGGTGGCCAACTGTCTCTAACTCTGCTCCATGGGGATCTGATGCCTGCTTCTGGCTTCCTTCAACACTGGGCACATATACACATGCATGCCGAAACATTCATACACATAGAAAAGCAAAAGGAAATATGAAAACGAAACAAAACCTCATGATCATTTCTGTTTTGCCATGGAGAAAGGCTTTCCTGACTGCTGGCTTTACAGTCCATTCTCCAGCTGGACTTCCAGGGAGGGAAGTCCTCTGCCATAGTGAGTACACATCTAAGCCAGCACTGTGAGAACTGAGATGGGTTCTGCGGCCGAAGAAACTGTCCCTTCTGAATACCACAATCTCCCCCATCCCCCAGATAGGCTTTCTCTGTGTAGCCTTGGCTGTCCTGGAAGACCAGGCTATCTTTGAACTCCTGGAGTGCTAGGATTACAGGCATGCACCACTGCACATGGTTAGCAGAAGGGCACCGAGGATGCCACCCTAGTGACAGTATGGGCTGGGGGGGCACCCCCCAGTCTACAGGCTCCTGAGAGCTAGGCACCTCAATGTTGGCAAACACAGTGAATGCTGCCGAGAGGCCATCAGATGGATAAAATCCCTTGGCTTTATGTGTTCTAGGGCCCTAGACCGGCAGGTGAACTCTGACAAACATGAAAACAGGCCACCAGTTCCAATCTAAAAAGCTAAACGCCCATGGACCTTTGGCCCCACAGAATCAAGAGCAACAAACACAGCATCGCCTGGTCACAGAGGGCACGACTTTGGTCATGCTATCCCAGTGTATACTGCATACCCCATTCAACTGTGAGCCGGTGATGACATTTATTCTTCCACACGGACAGTGACCACTGGGTAGGCAGATTCAGCTCAGGGCAGGATGGTCTGTTTGGGGACAGGGCTCCTCCCTGGCAGCGGCCATACTGGGCTTATGATCCACTAAGCTCATGCACCAGCTGGGCTCCCGGGCATCTCCTCAGAAAATAATTTCTTTAACCCCTTTGCTGGGCACTGGTGGCACACAACGTTAATCCCAGCACTTGGGGGGCAGAAGCAGGCAGATCTCCGAGTTTAAGGTCAGCCTGATCCAGGAGAGCCAGGGCTACCCAGAGAAACTGTCTTGAAAACAAAAACAAAAGCCCACACCAGCCCCCCCCACCTTGAAACAGCTTAATTGAAAACTTAAATTACGTGTATGAACCACATGGGGCACACACCTTTAATCCCAACCACTGGAAGGCAGAGGCAGGAGAATTTCTGTGAGTTCAAAGCTAGCCTTGACTACAGGGAGCACAGGCAGGAGGACACAGTGATCCTGTCTCAAAACAAAAACCTAAACAAACATGTGTGTGTCTGTACACAAGTATGTGCATGTGAGCATACTGGCCCTCAGCGGCCAGAGCACCAGGTCCTCTCAAGTTGGGAGTTTCAGGGGAGCCACATGATGTGAGTGCTCAGAACCAAACTTAGGTTCTCTGTTCTTTTCTAAAGTGTGCTTGTGTTTGAGGCAGGGTTTCTCTGTGCCTTGGCTGCCC